CAAGCTCCTGCGACTAAACGAATGTGCGCGGCCGTAAGACGAGAGCCACATTCTGAAAAGGAACCGCCCTCAAACGTGAAGGTCTTGTACATTTTCCAATGTGCGTGGCGCCAAGGCGGGAGCCACATTTTGAAAATGACCCGCGCGCAGACCGGCAAGCTCTTGCGACTAAACACATGTGCGCGGCGTTAAGGCGAGAGCCACATTTTGAAACTGACCCGCGCTCAGGCCGTAAAGCTGTTGCAACTAAACGAATGTGCGCGGCGTTGAGGCGAAAACCACATTTTGAAAAGGAGCGGCCCCCACTCGTGAAGGTCTTGCAAATGTTCGAAACGAATGTGCGCGGCGCCAAGGCGAGAGCCACTTTTTGAAAATGACTCGCGCTCAGGGCGTCAAGCTCTTGCGACTAAACGAATGTGCGCGGCGCCAAGACGAGAGCCACATTTTGAAAAAGGGGCCGCCCTCAATCGTGAAGGTCTTGCGCATTTTCAAAACGAATGTGCGCGGCGCCAAGGCGAGGGCAACATTTTGAAAATGACCCGCCCTCAGGCCGCCAAGCTCCTGCGACTAAACGAGTGTGCGCGGCGCCAAGACGAGTGCCACGTTTTGAAAAGGAATGGCTCTCAATCCTGAAGGTCTTAGAAATTGTCAGAATGAATGTGCGCGGCGCCAAGGCGAGAGCCACATTTTGAACATGACCTGTCCTCAGGCCGTCAATCCCTTGCAACTAAACGAGTGTGCGCGGCAGTAAGACGAGAGCCACATTTTGAAAAGGAGCCGCCCTCAATCGTGACGGTCTTGCACCTTTTCAGAATGAATGTGCGCCGCGCCAAGGCGAGAGCCACAGTTTGAACATGATCTGCCCTCGGGCCGTCAAGCTCTTGCGGCTAAGCGAATGTGCGCGGCGGTAAGACGAGAGCCACACATTTTCAAAACGAATGTGCGCGTCGCCAAGGCGAGAGCCACATTTTGAAAATGACTCGCGCTCAGGCCGCCAAGCTCTTGCGACTAAACGAGTGTGCGCGGGGCCCAGACGAGTGCCGCATTTTGAAAACCCTCCATCGTGAAGGTCTTGCAACTTTTCGAACCGAATGTGCGTGGTGCCAAGGCGGGGGCCACATTTTGAACATGACCCGCCCTCAGGCCGTCAATCCCTTGCGACTGAACGAAAGTGCGCGGCAGTAAGACGAGAGCCACATTTTGAAAAGGAGCCGCCCTCAATCGTGGAGGCCTTGCACATTTTCAGAACGAATGTGCGCCGCGCCAAGGCGAGAGCCGCATTTCGAAAATGGCCCGTCCTCAGGCCGCCACGCTCTTGCGACTAAGCGAATGTGCGCGGCGCCAAGACGAGATCCCCATTTTGAGAAGGAGCCGCCCTCAATCTTGAAGGTCTTGCACATTTCCAAGACGAATGTGCGCGGCGCCAAGGCGAGATCCGCATTTCGAAATCACCCGCCCTCAGGCCGTCAAGCTCTCGCGACTAAACGAGTGTGCGCGACGCCAAGACGAGAGCCACATACTGAAAAGGAGCCGCCCTCAATCGTGAAGGTCTCGCACATGTTCAAAACGAATGTGCGTGGCGCCAAAGCGAGAGCCACATTTTGCAAAGGAGCCGCCCTCAACCGTGAAGGTCCTGCATTTCAGAACGAATGTGCGCGACGCCAAGGCGAGAGCCACATTTTGGAAATGACCCGCCCTCAGGCCGTCAAGCTCTCGCGACTAAACGAATGTGCGCGGCGCCAAAGCGAGAGCCACATTTTGAAAATGACCCGCGCTCAGGCCGTCAAGCTCTTGCGACTCAACGAATATGCGCGGCGCCAAGACGAGAGCCACGTTTTGAAAAGGAGCCGCCCTCAATCGTTAAGGTCTCAGAAATTTTCAGAATGAATGTGCGCGGCGCCAAGGCGAGAGCCACATTTTGAAAATGACCTGCCCTCAGGCCGCCAAGCTCTTGCGACTAAACGAATGGGCGCGGCGCCTAGGCGAGAGCCACATTTTGAAAACGACCCGCACTCCATCTTTGAAGCTGGTATCAATTTTTAACATTAATGAGGGGCATATGCAGCGAGGAAGTGGGCTCTGGCAAATAAAAACTGGAGGGCCAATGGCACCCAACCAAAGACTCAACCCTGGATCCTCCATCCTCGATCCATCCTCCTTCCTTCCTCGATGAATCCTCGATGCGTCATCGATGCTTCATCCTCGATCCTCCCTCCTCGATCCTTCCCTCAGCGCGCCGCCGAGAGGGACTGGTGGGCCCCGTCAAAAAGTGCCTGCTGGACCTGGACCTCCTGCAGCACTTCAGCGAGGCCTGCCCACGCGCGCGGCGACACGCGCTCTCCTCGCTCTCGTACCAGATGCATCATTTGCATCTTTCGTTGTCTTTCTGCTTCTCTCGTCGGTAGCGAATCATGGGAGCCTTGTGTGTCCTCGAACTTCCATCTTCAGAGTGCGTCAGTGCGCGCCACGGTCGGTAGCGCCGATTTCGCGTCGACCAGCGTGCATTTAGCGTCGGCTAGTGTCGAGGGGCGTCGTTTAGCGTTGCTTCGCAAGAGCCAGCAAGGTGACATGGGAGGCCCCCGTAAGTTACCACATCAGTTTGCATTATATTCTAATTGTGTTGCCAACCATCCTGTGGTGCTGAGTCTTCGTTTTGAAGAGATAGACCCGCGTTCCTCACTTCCCTCCTCCCTCCTCCCGTCCCTGCCTCTGCCCTCCGCATGTCAACAGTTACGGTACACCACGCCCTACGTTTAGTGAGCCCATAGGCCCCACAGGGAGCGTTCGCATTCGTCCTCGCCACACGGTAAAGCGTTTCGTGGCCCCATGGGGAGCTCCACCGAAGGCCCCAGAGGGAGCGTTTGCATGCGTCCGCGCCATCCAGTACAGCATTTCGTGGCCCCAGAGGGAGCTCCACCGACGGCCCCAGTACAGCGCTTCGTGGCCCGATAGGGAGCTCCACCGAAAACCCTGGTGACCGCGGCCGCATGTGTTTCCCCCACCCAGTGCAGCGTTTCGTGGCCCCGAAGGGAACTCCACCGAAGACCCCAGTCGCCGCGGCCGCATGTTTCCCCCCATCCGGTGGCCGCACGTGTTTCCCCCACCCACCCAGTACCCCAGTGGCCGCGTTCGCGTGCGTCCGCACCACCCAGTGCAGCGCTTCGTGGTCCCATAGGGTGCTCTACCGAAGGCCTCGGTGACCGCGGCTGCATGCGTTTCCCCCACCCAGTACAGCGCTTCGTGGCCCCGAATGGGGCTCCACCGAAGACCCCAGCGGCCGCGGCCGCATGCGTCTCCCCTTCCCAGTGCAGCGTTTCGTGGTCCTTCTGCCGGCGGGGTGCCGCTGATTCCAGGCCGACGTCCCCCTGCAGACTGGGAAACGCTTGCCCGCGATGACGAGATTTGGAGGTGGTACAGCTATGGGTCCTCCTCCTCCTCCTCCTCCTCCTTCTCCTCCTCGTCCTCGTCCTCCTCCTCCTCCTCCTCCTCTCCCTCCTCCTCCTCCTCCTCCTCTCTCACCCTCATCCTCCTCCTCCTCCTCCTCCTCCTCCTCCTCCTCCTCCTCCTCCTCCTCCTCCTCCTCCTCCTCCTCCTCCTCCGTCTCCTCCTCCGTCTCGTCCTCTGGCGCTGCCGCGCGGCCGCGCTGGCCCGGTGAACGCGGCTGGGCCTTTCAGCACGCCGCTCCGCTCAGGGGCAGCGTTTGGGGGGGATGTGCTCGGGGGGGGGGGGACGGGGTCGCCGCTCGGGGCTCGGGGTCCGAGGGCCCACCCCGCCCAGGAGCGTGCGGATTCGCAACCGGGGGCCTGTCGCCGACCCATCGGCGACGCACCGCCGGTTCCAGCTTGATGTCAGTCGGGCCTGTCCCTCTACAGGGGGAATATCCAAAAATAGTCAAAAAGTACCCTGGGGACAATTTTTCCATCTTCGGCAATTTTTGAGCATTTCTGGGGTATTTCTTATTTTTCATCCAAAAGCCGCCTGTAGGGGGACACGCCCGACCTAAAGCTTGATGGTTCCCCCTCCTGAGCCGGTGTCCCCCACTGCCGTTAAGCTGGGCACGTCCCTCTGCAGGAGGAATCTTCAAAGATGAAGTCAGCAAAAACAGTCTGGGGACGATTTTCGTGCTCTTCTGGATTATTTTTGGATTGTTATTGGGCTAATTTTTAATGTTTCTTCCCAAACTTGCAAGTAGGAGGACAGGCCCGACCTAGCACTGCCGTTTGGAGGGCACCACTCCTGCACCTGCGCCGAACTGGCCAGGCCGGTGCTGGGCCCAGGATCCTGCCCGAGCCAGGAGGGCATACACCGATCCTGGTCCCACGAGGAGCCTGGCCAGGATCGGTGCAGGTCTGTCGCTGGCGCCCTCCTGATCTCGGCGGCGAGCGAGTGGGGGACTTCGAGGTTCTAGGTTTTGCAGCATTTTCATACTTTCTCGGCGGTTTTCCGCTCTCGGGATGCGTTCCAGCGGCTGCGCCTCGCCGAGAGCGTTCTGGGGATGCCCAGATCGTCCCGAACGGCCGCCAGAGATCCGAGTTATGACCCGAAAATTTAACTCGGCGGCGAGCGGGGGGGGGGAGGTGAGAAGGAGAAGGCCTGCTTCAGAAGGCGCGGGGACTTCTCGGAAGCCCCCGCGCCTTCCGAGGAGTGTTCCTGAGCCTTCCGGGGAGGGCGCAGGGCACTCCTCGGAAGGCGTGGGGGACTTCCGAGCCTTCGACGAAGGCCCGCCCCTTCTCACTCCCCCGCCCTAGGCGCGCCGCCGAACTCTGAAGCGCACAGATCCCACACTTTCACGGGCGCGCGGTTCGGAAACGTCGGCCTGCTCGAAAAGCACAGTCAGGGGCTCCACTGCACGACCTGAGGACCTGCACGATCTGCTCTCCTCCGCCTGGAGGGATGGGGCCCCGCCCCTTCTCGCCATCCCCCCCGGGCCCGCCGCCGACAGCCGCTCCCTCTCATCCGCTGGGGGAGGAGCTGGGGCGACGAGATCTACACTGGGGACGCGCATCAAGAAACCGTGCGCTTTTCATCAGGGTACCCCGGGTTTCCTCGCTCCTCGCGCTGCACGTTGACTTCCCGCGGCCGTTGAAGAAGCTGCTGCGCTCCGGGTGCCCTGGGTCTCCCCCCAGTCGCACCCCGCGCGCGGGTCTTTCAGGGCTGGGGTTCTGGCGAGGGCTTCCTGCGGCCGCGTCCTCGCTGTATGCATGTCCGCTGCTCCCTGGCCATGCCCGTCCCGAACCCAGAAGCTGTGCACACGCCCCTCCCGGCCAAGCCAGGAGGGCGTGGTGCACACGCCCCTGCCGGGCTCAGGACGGGCCTGGCCAGGGAGCAGTGGCCAGTATCGTTGAAACGATCCCCATCCCCATCCTCATCCCCATCTTCTTCGAGACCCCCACCAAATGACCACCCCAGTTGGGGATACACCCCTCGAAACCCGAAGGGAACGACCTATATCTCCATCCAGGGGGTAAATCGGCCAGTGGGGCCCAGGCCACGCCGCTGGGGATGGGGATCGGTTAAACGACACTCCAGTGGACATGTAGAGGTCTTGCCGCCCCGGGGGAGGGGGCTCGCTCAGGTCTACGGCAACATCGGCTCCAACTACGGCCTGCTGGCACCCCCCCGGCCGGGCCTGACCCGGCCTGCTGCGGCGGTGCTGGCTGCGCGCAGGAGCGGCCCTTCGCCAGAAGGGCCTCTCAGTGCGCGACCTTCGCGGGGCGCGCGGGGGGGGCCTAAGCCCCCCAGACGCCGGCCGTTGCTGTCGCGTCGCGTGCAACGATCCGCCGGCCGCGCTCGACACGTCGCTCTTGCCAGGGGCCCCTCTTGCGTGCAGCCAAACGCTGGAGCCAGACGAGCATGCTGGCAGCTCGCTGGAGGAGGAAGATATTGCGAGTAGGAGGAGGAGGAGGAGGAGGAGGAGGACCAGTGTAAACCCAAGAGTCAGCAACGATGTTGGAATAGACTCTCCCTCCAAGCTCCCGCTTCATAGGCCGCTACAACGGTTCATTTCCACTGCGGGAACTGCCTCTTTGGAAAACACCCGTTTGGAGACCCTGAAGCATGCCAAAACATTGTTTGATTCCAACGCCACGGACCAATTTGACCGTTGCGTCTTGACGATCCGTAAGCGTGCCAGAACGCCATTCCTGGAACTTTAACACCGCGAAACAATTCAATTGATATACCCTCGTAATCCTGGATCCTTTTAAAACACAACTTCTGGTACGCTGATCATTGCAAGTTTGACAAACTAAAGTGCGCGGCGCCAAGGCGATAGCCACATGTTGAAAATAACCCATCCTCAATCCGTGAATGTGCACGGCGCTAAGGCGAGAGCCACATTTCGAACACGATTCGCTTTCAATCCGTACAACTCTTGCAAATCTGTAAAACGAATGTGCGCGGCGCTAAGGCGAGAGTCACACTTTGAAAACGGCCCGCCCTCCATCTGTAAATCTGTTGCAATTTTTGAAGGTTCAGAGTCATACATGGTGAGGAAGTCTCAGGCGAAACACCCAGCCCGCCCTAAAACTGGCCTCGGGGTGCGACAGGGGTAAGTTATTTATGGGGAAAAGGAATGGAGGAGGAGAAGGTGGAGGAGAAGGAGGAGGAGGAGGGGGGATGATGATGATGATGATGATGATGATGATGATGATGATGATGATGATGATGATGATGATGATGATGATGATGATGATGATGATGATGATGATGATGATGATGATGATGATGATGATGATGATGATGATGATGATGATGATGATGATGATGATGATGATGATGATGATGATGATGATGATGATGATGATGAGATGAGGATGGATGATGATGATAAGGATGTGATGATGATGATGATGATGATGATGATGTGATGATGATGATGATGATGATGATGATGATGATGATGAGGATGATGATGATGATGATGATGATGATGATGATGTTGTTGTTGTTGTTGTTTGTTGGTTGTTGTTGTTGTTGTTGTTGTTGTTGTTGTTGTTGTTAGTTTTGTTGTTGTTGTTGAATGTTGATGATGATGATGATGATATGATGATGATGATGATGATTATGATGGTGATGGTGATGGGATGTGAAAGTGATGAGTCAGTGAGGGCTGATGATGAATGAGTGAGGAGGAGAATGATATGATGATGATGATGATATGATGAGATGATGAGGAGAGGAGGAGGAGGAGAGAGGAGGAGAGGAGGAGGAGGAGGAGGAGACGGAAGCCGGAGCAGGAGGAGAAGGGGGGAGGAGGAGGGGGGTGGAGGAGAGGAAGGATAGGAGGAGGAGGAGGGAGGAGGAGGAGGAGAGGAGGAGGAGGAGGAGGAGGAGGAGAGGAGGAGGAGGAGGAGGAGAGGGAGGAGGGAGGAGGAGGAGGAGAGGAGGGGAGGAGGAGGAGAGGAGGAGGAGGAGGAGGAGGGAGGGGAGGAGGAGGAGGAGGAGGAGGCGGAGGAGGAGGAGGAGGATGAGGAGGGGAGGAGGAGGATCCGGATGGATGACGAGAAAAATGGAGGAGGGAGGAGGAGGAGGATCCGGATGGATGACGAGAAAAATGGAGGAGGAGGTCTGACGACGGGACAAAATCTGCACCGTCTTGAAAATCATGACCGCAGCCGCAGACCACCTGAGTGACTGAAAAAAGCCGGTTCGTCTGTGCCGACACTCGCCCCGCCTAGCTTTTAGCGGAAGAGGTTCGCTCTCGCCCCACCGACCAAAAATGTGCCGACACTCGCGCGTAAGTTGCCCGCGCAAGGTCGCGCGTAAGCGCCCTCATCTCCATGGTGGCGTGCCGCGATGGTGGCCCGCGTAAGCCACCGCGTAAGGTCGCTATGCCATCTCGCGGTCGCGTAAGATCCGTTTTTGATCGTCGCTCATCTCTCTGCGCCATTTTTGAGCCAGACGAATCTGTAATGGCCCCGGGCCCCGACACTGGGCGAGAATGCCCAGGCGTGAAAAAGCTGCGACGCCCGGATGTGAGAATGAGGAGGAAGGAGGAGGGAGGAGGAGGAGGAGGAGGAGGATGAGGAGGAGGAGGAGGAGGAGGAGGAGGAAGGAGGAGAGGAAGAAGGATGGTGAAGGTGGTGGTTCTGATGTTGATGCTACTGTTGCTGCTGCTGATGATGCTGATGTTGATGATGATAATGATGATGCTGTTGATGCTGATGCTGATGCTGCTGATGATGATGCTGATGATGCTGATGATGATACTGCTGCTGATGATGATGGTGATGATGATGGCGATGATGCTACTGTTGCTGCTGATGATGATGATGCTGATAATGATAATGATAATGATGATGATGATGCTGATGATGATGCTGCTGATGATGCTGATGATGATGCTGCTGCTGATGATGATGATGATGCTGCTGATAATGATGATGGTAATGATGATGGCGATGATACTACTGTTGCTGCTGCTGATGATGATGATGCTGATAATGATAATGATGATGATGATGATGATGATGATGATGATGATGATGATGATGATGATGATGATGATGATGATGATGATGATGATGATGATGATGATGATGATGATGATGATGATGATGATGATGATGATGCTGATGCTGATGCTGATGCTGCTGCTGCTGCTGATGATGATGATGATGATGATGATGATGATGATGATGATGATGAAAGAGCTGCAACGGCCGGCTCTGAGGGGAGGCGCAGGGCGAGGAGCGGATATGCCGCCGCACAGCTGCCACCGGCCGCCGCCGCCGTGTGCCTGGCTGCGGGCGGCAGCGGCCGCCTGCGCCGCGTTTGTGTGGAAGTCAAACGTCTGAGCGACGCAAGAAAGACACGGGGTCGTCATCGCCGACACTCGCGCGTAAGCTGCCCGCGTAAGGTCGCGCGTCAGCGGCCTCGTCTTCAATGTGGCGTGCCGCGCTGGTGGCCCGCGCAAGCCGCGTCGTAAGGTCGCTATGTCATCTCGCGCAAGATCCGTATGTGATCGTCGCTCATTAGTTGAGCGGCAAACGTTCATGAGGATAATTTGAAATGTACGCACATAATCGCGGCTTTTAGTAAACGCATGGGCAAATACTGGAAACGGCGGGGACGACGGGAATCCAGGAGGTATGGACAAAACATGGGACTTTTGGGGAGGCGTGTCTCCGTGGGCCTGGGCCCCTGTAGCACTGTCTGTTTGTTTATGTTTTAGTTCTTGAAGCTCCCGACCCGTAGACCCAAAAGTTTGTTTATGTTTTGGCGACACTGCGGCCCGCCCTCCGGCCGCCTGAGGCCCCGCCCGCCTGTGCCCTGTCTCCCCACTTAGAGCTGTGCGTAGCCCGCCTAGCTTTTACCGGAAGAGGTTCGCTCTCGCCCCGCAGACCAAAAATGTTTCGGCGACACCCGCCATGTGAGTGCCCTCCCCTCACCTCCTCCCGCCCCGCGGCCGCTTCCGCCTTGTTTTTCCTCCTGCCGCCGGCTCATTTGCGCTTCCGGTCGCCAGGACCGCCCGAGCGCGCGTGCGGACTGCCTCTGCCGCGCTGCGGCGCAAAGGGTTGGTTTGGTGCCTCCCTGGGCCCCGTTGGCTGCCTCTAGCGATCGAAGCTCGGCCACGCGCAGGGGGGTAGGGGGAGGGGGGAAGGCTTCTTAGGAGCACCCCTGCTTCTGAGAGGGCGCGTTCCCAGTCTCTATAGATGTGAGGCCAGGGCCTGCTAAGAGGCAGCCTCCTTCTAAGAAGCCGTCCCTCCTACAGTCGGACCGAGGTATAAGGTCGGTTCGGGGAGGGTGCCCTCGTGTTCTTCGTGCTTCTTGCACGCCCTCGTGCATCCTGGGGAGGCGACCCTTGGACTTTCCGCTGGTTTTGGCTGGCGGAGGGCCTCGTGCTCTCGAGGCATCCTCTTCTGGCCTGGGTCCGACGCTACCCCACCTCTGCGCGCCGACAAAGTGGGTCCGACGCTACCCCACCTCAGCGCGCCGACAAAGAGGAGGAGGAGGAGGAGGAGGAGGAGGAGGAGGAGGAGGAGGAGAGAGAGGAGAGGAGGAGGAGGAGGAGGAGGAGGAGGAGGAGGAGGGAGGGAGAGGAGGAGGGAGGAGGAGGAGGAGGAGGAGGAGGAGGTCCAGCCGCAGCGACACGCAGACCAGGGATCCCCCCCCAGGCGTACGACCGCGAGGCTTCCACGGCGCAGACCCCCGCCCTGGCCGAGCTCCTCGGCCGGCCGGACCAGGCGAGCGGCCGGCCCGCGGCCGGCCCGCGGCCAGTCCGCGGCGGGCCCGCGACGGGCCCGCGGCGGCCGCCGGCGCTCGCCGGATGCTGACGGGCTGCGATGCCAGAGATCCAGCGTCTTGAAGAAATCACGAGGGAGGTTTTTCGCAACTTTCGGCCCCCAGGGGCCCGCGCCGGGCCTCGGGACCGTCAAAAAACGACTCAGGATGAAAAACCGGCCCTGGGGAATGGGTCGAGACTTCCGGGGACACTGGATCTCTGGGATGCTCCAGTCGAGGCAGTGCAGCACCGAGCTGGCTTGGGAGCTCGATCGAGGTGAAGCCTCCCTCCGTGCCTGCATCCCCTCCCCCCCCACCCGCCCCCTCGTTTCCCTTCCCTTCTCTCTCTCTCTCTCTCCTTCCCCGCCCCCGCCCGCCCTCTCCCCTTCCCGTCCCCCCCTCCCCGTCCCCGGCCCGGCCCCCGCCCCCCGTCCCCGTCCCCGTCCCCCTGCCCCACTGCACCTTTATACACACTATGAGTACTGTTCTCCTCTGTCCCCTGACCCTGTCCAGAGAGTGTCCCGTCCTCTCCGCGTATTCTTTTCGCACAGGATTTCGTTCTCCGGTTTTTCCAAACTGTGTTTTTCCAATCCCGTCGCTTCGGCTTCTACCAAAATGGTGCTCCCACTGCAGCGCCGCCCTCGTTTCCGCGTTTCCGTCATTCGAAATCGTGCTCCCGCTGCATCGCTGGCCTCGTTCCCTCGCCTCCGGTGGTTCCCCATTTGTGTTCCCGCGGCAGCTTTGTGGCGTTCAGTTCTCCGAAGTAGCGCTGTCGCTGTAGCGCTGGCTCCGTTCCAGTGCTGCGGTCCTTCCAAATTCCTTGGGCTTGTTTTCCACCACCACCACCATAAGTTGGAGGAGGAGGGGGTCCTCCTCCTCCTCCTCCTCCTCCTCCTCCTGCTCCTCCTCCTGCTCCTCCTCCTCCTCCTTCTCCCCTCCAACTTATGGTGGTGGTGGTGGAAAACAGGCCTGTCACAAATCGTGCTCCCGCTGCAGCGGCGGCCTCGCTCGTTGTCGGTCCGGGCCTCGCTCCCGCGCTCTCCAGCCCTTCTCACATCGTGCTCCCGCTGCAGCGCCGGTCCACATTACGACTGTGCGAACAGAGAGGAGATCTGCGCCGTGGTAAGCGATGGGAGGGATGGGCAGGACGTCAGATGGGACCCCAGCGCACCTAGCTTGCCCCCCCCCCCTTCCCCCCTTCCTCGCCCCCCTTCCGCCGTCCCGCCGTTCTCCCTTCCCCTAGCCTCCCCTCCCCTCCACGGCGGCGCCAACTTCGGTTGCCGCCTCCAGCCTTGTAGTAGCCCCTGCTGAGCCCCCTGTTGCGGACTGGCGGCGCGATCCCCTGGTCCACACGTGGGCAGCGGCGAGAAGCCGCGCAGGGCCGCGCGCAAGCGGCCTCTTTTTCCCCCCGGGCGTGCCCCGCCGGATGCCCGCGTGAGCCGTGGCGCAACGAGAGGTCGCCATGTCTTCTCGCGTAGGGCCTCTCTCTTTTCGTCGCCTGCAGTCGGCCTGGATTAGTCCAGTCGGGGCGCTGACGAAGGAACCCTTTTCGCCTGGGAGGAGCTCCGTGTTACTCCGTTGTTTTACTGCCACCTTAGGTTTTTATTTCGGTTTTCTATTGGAAATCGAAGTTGTTAAACTTCAGGGGAAAAAGGGGCCTCGTTCCTGATTTATCGTTCCTTAGGTCAACGCCCCGACTGTAGGTCGACCCTGCCAAGTCAAGGGTACCCCTCGTGTCCCGCGTCTCGCGACCCATGCCTCCTGCATTCCTGTGGCAGTGTGCCCCTCGGGAAGGGTCTTCTGCCCTCTCGCGTGTCCCGTCCAAGGAAGTCCGACTGTCAGGAGGGCAAAAAACACACAGACACAATTAATCGTCGATTCCCAGGAAAATATTGGAGAATATGGGAAGTGGGGGGGAAGACAGAAACCCAGAAAATGTTGGAAAATCTATGGGGAATCCTTTTATTCGTGTGTCTTTATTTGTGTGTCCCAGGGCCCCTTCAGACTGCATCTGCGCTCTCCTCGAATCTCGGCGAAGCCCCGCCCGGCCCGGGCAGGCGGCGGTGCTGGTTGCCGCCTCTGGCCCGGCGGGGCGACTGCGGTCCCGGCCCCGCCGCCCGCGGGGCCTGCGGCAGGCGCAGGCCGTGCTTCGAGCGCCCGTGCAGCGCCGCGCCGGCTTTCTTGGCAGAGCTGCCAGTTGCCGCCAGTGGCCCCTGGCTGGCGCCGCTGTCTCCAGCCTTGTGGAAGTCGATTATATGGAGAGGAAGCTTGCTGCCAACTGATTTCCAGATGTCTGAACGATGTTTCAAACATGTTCTGGGTATATAAGAACCGTGTTTGAAACATTTTTAGAACATGCTTTACACATTTTAAACACATGTTTAATTCAATGACAGGATTGTTAGAGTGTTCATTGTCATGGCATCCACAACTCTAGCCCTGTATATCGAAGACGCCTACGGCGAATCACCGCCGCCCCCTGCCTTTTTGGAAGCGCCTATGTGGCCGAACGTTGAGGCCAGACCTGCCAAGCTATCGGACCACGTGTTCCCCGAATCGGTTTGGAAAGCCTTCGGGGAACACGTGGGCATCTTGAAGGTCATCTTGGCCGTCTTGGAGGCCTCTTGGGCAAGCTTTGGGCGATCTTTGGGGCTTTTTGGGCCGTCTCGGGCCAGCTTCGAGCCAACTTCGGCCATCTTGGTGGGTTCCTGGCACGTCTGAAGCCGTCGGAAGCCGTTTGGGGGGCCTCTATGGGCCGACTTGGGGCCCGCTTGGAATGCTCCAGGGCCGTCTTGGAGGCCATCTTGGGCGTCTGGGAGGCCATCTTGGGCGTGTTGGAGGCCTCTTGGGCCCTCTTGGGGCCCTCTAGGGGCCATCTTGGAGGCCACTTGGGCCATCATGGGGCTCTCTTGGGGGCCTCTTGGGCGATCTTGGGGGCTTCTTGGGCCGTCTCGAGCCGTCGGAGAGCCGAAAAGGCGCAAATGCCAGAATCCTTCAAAAACCAATGAAAAATCAATGATTTTGGCCTCTTCGGACTCTCCTGGAGGACCTCTTGGAGGCCTCTTGGGCCGTCTGGGAGGCCTCTGGGGGGCCTCTTGGGCCGTCTTGGGCCGTCTTGGACTCTCTTGGGCCGTTTTGGAGGCCGTCTTGGACCATCTCGGGCGGACTTGGAGGCCATCTTGGGCCATCTTCGCGATTTTTTGAGGATGTCCCACGGCCGTTTTTTGGAGGATTTTTTCCGGTCGTTGAGCACGTTTGGGGGCCTTCCGGGTGGCCGGCGGGTTCTGCCGGAGCCCACTGGGGAGTTCTTTTGGAAAAAGAACCAAAACCATAACCTGAAACATCCAGCACGCCGTGCACCCCTGCAAGCAGGGGGCGGCGGATCCAGCTGCCTGCGGCAAGTCCCGCCACCGTGCCGTCCCACCACTCCGGGTGGCGACTGTTCGGGGTGGCACGGGAGGCTGGCACGCGTGTGACACCTCGCGTCCCCCAGCTTGGGACAGCGGTAATGAGGATCAAGAGGATGATGAAGATGAATCGCCGAGCGCGTTCCACTACTCGCAACGTGCTTACTCGCAAACGTCCGAAATATACAGGTCCTCCTCTATGTGATATATCGTAGATCCCCGGCGGATCCAGGCAATTTGCGAGCAGTTGATTTGCGAGTAGTGGAACGTGTCTGTCCAATGAAGATGAAGATGAAGATTAGTATGGAGGCGACGATGAAGGTAATGATGAATTTGATGATGATGATGATGGTGGTTGTGGTTGTGGTGTTGTTGATGATGATGACGATGTTGCTGATGGCGACGACGATGTTGATGAAGACGATGATGATGGTTCTATTTATGATGATGATGGTGATGATGATGATGATGGTGTTGATGATGATTATGATGGGGATGCTGCTGCTGCTGATGATGACGGTGGTGCTGATGAGGATGAGCATAAAGATGAATGTGAATATGAAGACACATCCGAATACGAATATGATGATGACGGTGATGATGATAATGATGATTGTCAAGACTATGATAATGATGAGTATGATGATGATGGTGACGATGATGGTGATTATGATCTGATGATGATGTTGATGATGCTGAGGCTGATGGAGACGGTGATGATTCTGCTTGTTATGATGATGACGATGATGATGATGATCATGATGATGATGATGATGATGATGATGATGATGATGATGATGATAATACTGATGATGATGCTGATGCAGATGATGATGATGCTGATGATGCTGATGATGATGATGACGATGATGATGATCATGATGATGCTGATGTTGTTGTTGTTGCTGACGCTGATGATGTTCCTGACGATCACGATAACGATGTTGTTGTTGATGACGATGATGGTGGTGGTGATGATGATGCTGATGATGATGATGCTGATGATGATGCTGATGCTGATGCTGATGCTGACGACGATGCTGACGATGATGATGGCGATCGAGGTGATGACGATGCTTACTGTGCTGCTGCTGAGGACACTTATCATGCTGTTGTTGATGATGAGCATGATGATGATGGTGATGGTGATGGTGATGCTGATGCTGATGCTGATGATGGCGATGATGATGCTGATGATGACGATGCTGCTAATTCTGATGATGATGTGATGATGATGATGCTGATGATGCTGATGATGATGATGATGATGATGATGATCGGTTGTGCCTGTTGATGATGATGGTGATGATGATGATGATGCTGCTCAGGATGATGAGGCTGTCGCTGCTGATGATGCTGTTGCCGTTGT